CCTCTTCCTTCTTCGGAACCACGGTCTTCTTCTTGATCATGGCTTCCATTGGGGGTGGCAAAAACCACTTCTTGCTCTTGTCGCTCGACCTGCGTTGTCAAACGATTCACTGTTCCTTTCAACTTCACATGTTCATCCATCAACATTCGAAACTGTTGTCGACGATTGAGGTCTTCCTTCAACTGCTGGCTGGTTTTCCATCATCAGGTATTGCAGCTGCCGAAAAACTTCCTCTGTGGGACCCCTCCCAAAACTTCCCATTTCTTCGGCTCTTTTCTTTAGCCTTTTTACCCTCTCTTCTTCTGCTCTTCTTCCAAACTCGGCTCTTTCTTCTTCTTTCAAAAAGTCGGGTCTTGCGAGAATCGACGGATCGGGCGTCTGGAATTGTGAGGTGCTGTACAGCTAAGGCGCTTGCTGATACATTTCATGAAGACCGCGAGTTTGCTCCCTGCTGAACAAGGGCAATTGGCCTCCAGGTGGAGTTGCAAGGTCGAAGCGCTCAGGTGCTCCCTCCCCCAATCCACTTGCTGGGACCGGCTTCGGTGTTTCTTTGTTTTCTTTTTCCTTTATAACCACTACCCTCCCCTCGGACAGTCTCTTCAGGTCCAGGGCCTTTGGTCCCAACACCTCAGGTGTTTTGACAGGTGTTGAACTGCTGGCCACCTTAGATCGAGCATCCTCAGTTGACGGACTGTTGTCGAGCCTGGAGTATGACTGAGCTTTTCTCAGCTTTTGACTTTGGTTCCTCTGGAATGTCTTCCAGAGGGAGGAGTTCTCCTCTTTGTTCCGTGCTCATCTTCTTGCACTCTAGGTCAGCTGTTTGGGCTCATAACCTAGTGTTCTCAACCACAAGCCTTGCAACTCTTCAGAAAACTAGACGACGGGTGGCCCGAGAGCGAGACGTGTGATTGTCCAGCACTGTGGAAAAGATATATAAAGAAAGGATGGACGTGAAGGAGCGCATGACAGTGTGGATGTGCAGGTGCGATACAGATGTGTAGATGTATGGAGGTGGAGAGGTAGATCTGTGGATGCGAGCGTGCGAAGATGCAAATGGACAGAGGCGAGAGAAAAGATATGTCTTAGGTTCGTAAGAAGCCAGTCTCACTTCAAACGGCTCAAAACAAGTCATTCCCATTTCAAGAATCTGACTTCAAACCGGTCAAAACAAGTCAGTCCCATTTGAAGAACAAAACAAAGAAAACCATAAGCAGGTCGAAGCGCGCGCAAAATGGAGTTGTGTGCGCTTCATCCTGGTCCCAAAAAACAAGCGGCGAGCAGATATCCTGCGAGCAGAGGCTCAAAGCAAGTCAGTTTGACTTCAAGTACAAGTAGTTCCCGGGCAAGCCGGCGGCGGAAGTTTCCTATAAGAACAAACTGACGTATAGGAGTGTCCACGTTCTCTCCAACATGCGCGTCCTCCAGTCAAACGCACGCGCTCCGGACTTTTGACCCACGGGATTCCACGTGTGTAAGGTGTGTGCCCCCTGCAGGATCAGCAGCTCACAACAGCGTACTGGGTTGTATCTTTGCCACGACAAGAGGGGTGTATGACGAGTGGTGTATGATGAGTGGTGTATGACGAGTGGTGTATGATGAGTGGTGTATGCTGAGTGGTGTATTGACCAGCAGTTGAATGTCCTGTCCTGCATAAATGCAACCAAATACTATCAGTATGAACTGTGCCAAACCTGCATGCCGCGAGAGATGACTCAGCAGCGAGAGATGGCTATAGCGAGAGCTGACTCAGCAGCGAGAGATAATTGAGCAGCGAGAGATGACTCAGTCGCGAGAGATGACTCAGTCGCGAGAGATGACTCACAGCAGCGAGAGCTGACTCAGCAGCGAGAGATGACTCCTCCGCGTACTACACTTGCACTACAATTACAAAGTGGCCAGTTCTCAGCTTCCAGCTCCACAGGTTGTTCCGCGTACTAAAGTTGTACTTGAAAGTCGCCAGTTCTCAGCTTCCAGCTCTCCAGATACTCCGCGTACTAAAGTTGTACTACAAAGCTCGCCAGATACTCCGCGGACTAAAGTTGCACTACAAAGTCACCAGTTCTCAGCTTCCAGCTCTACAGATTGCCAGATTGCTCCGCGTACTAAAGTTGTACTAGAAAGTCGCCAGTTCTC